TTTTAAGCTGGTTATTTTAAGAAAAAAAAGATTCAGAAAGAACTTTTGACTCTCCCCACACCTGCCTAAATGAATTTAGATGGGGAAAACCAGCTTAAAAGAAGGGAGCTGTCATTTTAACATAATATGAGCTAAGTGTGGCATATGATACAATCTAGCAACTTCTGTTCGTTAGACTTCCCTCTGTGTCCATTGTTCCTGGGTGGCCTGGCAAGAATTTGTCTATCAAATGTTTGCTCCTTCGTATCTACTTATGAATTGCCTACTTTCCTTTTGAAGTCCCAGACACCTACCTCTGCTTAGTCCAGAATGAAATATAATCCTAACTGCCAATGTGTCTTTGGAACCCCTCTGTGTACATACATAATGCATTTGGTACTTTTTTCCTGTTACTCTATGTCAATTTGATTATTAGATTAGCCAGAAGAATTTAGAAGGAAATTTATTTTTTTCTCCCTTACTGGTAGAAAATTGTGGACAGGCCAATAATGGTAAATACAAGTTAGTTAGGTTTGCAACCTAGATTCCTCTGGTGCCTAGTAAAAGTCTAGAGTTGTCTCCAGTGATTCACTCTGTTCTTCCTATAGAGAGGGGAGATGAGAGAGGGGACACCTTTATAAATGTGCGCCCTGCTTTTAGGCAAAGAGGAAGAAGGCAGAGAGCTTTTATTGCATTTGTTTCTTTTTAATTGCCTTCTGCTCAAAATAATCCTTATGCTAAAGTGAAATACTTGGAGGTGGCATAGTCTGTTACCCTTCAACAGCAACAGATAAGGAATATATTTTGTAATATCGTAAGGGTCAGTAATATCTCCACTTTACAACCACACAAGTGTGGCTCAGAGACTTTAGATAACTAGTCTTCAGTAGAATGACCGAGCTAGGATGGCTGTGATTCTCAGCTGGATGATGTGTCATCAGTCCCTCAGACCATGCTCTTCCTTCCACATGAGTGAGATGCATATGGACTGTCCAACAGCGCCAGTCTCTCTTGTCACTTCTCTTTCCTCTACCTATTACTGCTCAGCCCAAGCCAATTTCCACTGAGAATATCTTTTCCTGTCCCACGTTACAATCTATAATTGTGAGGAATGTTAAAAGATTCTGGGCTGCTGTATTTGGATCAAGCTCACCTCATATTGGTAGCTGAGCATCATACATTTGTGCTGTCAGGAGACAGTGGGGAAGGGGGTTGTACCTGTCAGGACGATAGGTTCTGGCATTAGGCACACCTGGACTCAAATTTTAGCTATGGCATTTGTTATTTGAAACTAGTGACCCAGTGCATGAAATTTGTGCACATTAAAAGGGAATTAATTAGAGGAAATATTTTAATATTGCTGTTTGCCCTTTCTCTATAATAGAAGTGTCAGATATAAAAGAAAATTAGTAAAATGTATATGAAAATCTTCCTCCTGTCAGAGTCTGGGGTGCGCCACAGGAACCAGAGTCAAGTCCCCACCCACCCACGTGCACCTGGAAATTGCGTGAGACCCAGATCCAGCCTGCCCCACCCCTGTCAAACCCCGCTGGGTGGGGGGCGCAGCCTCAGGTCGCCTGGCCCAGTGCCAGGGTGGGGGGCTCGGCCTCAGGTCCCCCGGCCTGGGCCGGGGCTGGGGGTGCGCCTTGAGGTCTCTGTCAAACCCCGCTGGGTGGGGGGCGTAGCCTCAGGTCCCTCGGCCCAGTGCCAGCGCGGAGGGTGCGGCCTGAGGTCCCCCGGGCTGGGGCTGGGGGTGCACCTTGAGGTGCCTCGTCAAGCCCCGCATGGCAGGGGGCGCGGCCTGAGGTCCCCTGTCAAGCCCCACCAGGTGGGGCAGGGGGTGGGTGGCGCAGCCTCAGGTCCCCTGACCCGGCCCAGTGCCATGCAGCCTCAGGTCCCTGCTGATTGCTTGTTAAGGCTCATTAGGAGAACTCGGCCTCTGTTGTGGGTGCAGCCATCTTGACCATTATGGTGTGACAATCAATTTGCATATTCCCTCTTTATTAGATAAGATATTACTAAATGCTTCTGTATACCAGTTTCCACATCTGAAAAACAGAGGTAATAAAATTCTCTATCTCAAAGTGTTATGAAGAGTAACACATAAAGTCCTGATACACAAATACTCAAATGTTAGTCTCTCCTTGCTCCTGTCTGTCTGTAATGTAGCCAGAGGTGCCTGTGGATCTCGTTCCTCTCTGAAGCACATGCGTATTGGACAAGCTTCAGCCTTTTTAGAGTTATAATTTTCAAAATTTTCACTCAGTTTTTGCAAATTGATCCTGGCTATACCAGTGTGTTGCACACAAATAGCTGTAGTCACATGGCTCTAGCTGTAAAAGCACATTGGAAGATAGTTCTCCGTGAATCTCTCATGTTCCTTGTGACTTGCAAGAAGGAACTGACAGTTCTTGTTTTGGTCTGGACTACCCTTTCCAAGGATGTTTGTATCGCAAACAGCCTTGGAAGAAGGTAATAGGATCTGTCTACAGAGGAGATGGCAGATTTGCTTGCAATACAGTATAATAATATCTCTCTCTAGGGCAAAGGTCGAGCAAGTTTTCTTATAGCCCACTTAAAAAGTTGGGTTTCCTATGCTTGGAATTCTTTGGCTGTGATGCAAACCCACTCCATGTGCAGTAGGCACCAGGCCCACTCTCGTCACCACAGTAACACTTAGGGGACTAGGGGGTTGACATAAATATGAAAAATTCACGCTGCCTATTGTGCTGGGACTCCTAGAGTTCTTTGTCTCTAGCCTGGATATCATGTCTTTTGCTATCATCCATGAAACTGCGGCAGCTAAATTGTTAGCCTGCATAAAGAGCAAAAATCTCAGACCCATGATAGTTTCCTCATCTGTATGATGGAGATGATGGGGTAATAGTACCAACCTCATACCTTGAGAGAATTAACTGAGAATATATACACACACATAATTATGATTAGAACAGGGCCTGGCACATGTACACTCCTTGAGTGTTTGGTATTATTATGCTTTTTTTGTTGTTGTTGTTGTTAATCCTCACCTGAGGATATTTTTTCCATTGATTTTCAGAGAGAGTGGAAGGGAGAGGGAGAGACAGCAAGAGAAAAGCATTGAGGTTAGAGAAACACATTGATTGGTTGCCTCCCTCACAGGCCCTGACTGCAACCGAGGTATGTGCCCTTGACCAGAATTGAACCCGTGACCCTTCAGTCCATGGGCTGATGCTATAACTGCTGAGAAAAACTGGCTATTATGCATTTGTATAATTGGTGCATGAATTAAGACCAGTAATTTATCTCAGAATCCAGAGAATAAGACCTGAAATAACCATTACATGACTTTTCCCCCCCTCACTAAAAAAATTGTTACTTTGCTTGCAAATAAATATTAGTGTGGAATCTCTAGCACACACACAGCAGTCATTACTGTAATTATTTCATGCTGGATAGGTTGAGCCAAATAGGTAAAATTATAATAGTTTTCATTTGCAGACTTGAGGGGTTTTAACCTAATAATCTATTACTGAATACATTTTTATTAAGTACCTATATGAACAATTACATACTGGACATTTTTAGCTCAAAAAGATTGTTTCCTACTAACTCTGAGTCCAGGAGAAATCCTCTGTAAAACTTTTCATTAGCCAAGAGGGCATAAAAAATGTTGGGTTGATAGTGTAAGTAATTATTTCAGGATTCATGATTGCAAGTTTTTTAATCCAGTTCCCCTTACATTTTAAGACTACCTATTGCTTTATCTTTAGCTGGTAGATTAAGAGTCAGCATGTTCTTATTCATTTTTAGAATTTGAAGAACATTGTGATCAGAGACCTTCTTTTTCTTTTCATTTTGCAACCTAACTTCCTCTTTGGGTCTGTTGTGCCAAAAGCTATTTTCTAACACCCATTTCCTTCCCTTCTGCATCATATAGTGTCAGACTTTGCAGGACTCATTACCCAATAAATGTTATAAAGTGATTGGTAATCTATGATATCAGTTATTTTGGATCAAACTTAGAACTACCTGGATAGCATCTCCACACCATACCTGACATAAAAATGCTAAGGACCCTTTAAAAATAAATAAATATATATATATATATATATATATATATATATATATATATATATATACACACACACACACACACACACCACACACACACACACACACACACATATTTATATGTCAGGAATTTTTCTAAGCAAAATCTCATTTAACAAAGTTAAATTGTATCAAATGTACCCAGTTATTAGGAATGAAGTAGCTGTAAAAGCAGCTCAATTGCCAAACCCAAGAATTATGAGTATTACATATTATGTGCTATGCTGAGTTAGGTAGAAAGTCTCATGTAGATATTGCTTAACCAAATATTTCCTCCAAGGCAAAGTGTAGCAACTCAGGCCAAGCTGTAAAGTTTAGTTATATTGGTACATGGAGCAAGGATTCAGGCATTAGATATTTGGAATTTATATTTGTAGAAAAAAGTCACAGGAAATTATATTTTCAACGATTTTTTGCACACTTTAATTATGTCAAAAATAATTTTAGCTAGTTCTTTTAATGTTTAATTGGTTTTTTTTAGAGAGTGGAAGGGAGTGGGGAGACAGAGAGAAACGTCAATGTGGGAGCGACACATTGACTGGTTGCCTCCCGCACACACCCTGACCAGGGCCGGGGATCCAGCCTGCAACCTAGGTACTTGCCCTTGACTGGAATCGAACCCATGACCCTTCAGTTTGAGAGCCAACACTATCCACTGAGCAAAACCAGCTAGGGCTTAGCTCATTTTTCTTTTTTTTTTTTCTATAAGAAAAGGAGTATATCTGTGTTTTGAAAAGAATATATTCTCTCTTATAGCAATGTCAGTATATAAAAGGGCATGATATATAAACATCTTTCCTATAGCACCATTTATAACCCAAGCTGTGGATTTATCCTTATGCCCTGTGGGGACTGGCAAGGTCTGTTTTATTATTTCCAAGGTTTGAGGTGTTTTGAAAATCATCTAGTTCCATTTCCTTGTTTTATAGATGGTGAAGGGAAGGCCCAGGAGATAAATTTAACCCAGTCAAAGTCATTGAAGAAGAGGAAAGAATAGTGTAAAATCACACTCCTCGAAAATATCTTCCTTCATAATTAATTTGAAAATTCCATGTCTAATCTGGAACTAAATATATTCTGTAAAAGAAAATTCTTTGAATACCATGGATAATGCATTCTAATATCTAACAACCTTTCTAGTCAGAAGTGTCATTCTTGAGTGTAATAACCTCTTTTCATGCAAATTAAGCTTATTTCCACTTGTTAGATGCTTAATAGAGATGGATGATAGGCACTTTAGTAATTACAATCACGCACATGTATTATAATACTTTTTAATGTTAACTTATTCTCCATTATTTTCTTTGTATGCATTAAAGAATCAAACACCTTTAGTTTTTGAACATATGTCTTTGCTTCCCTTCCCTAGTGGCTAAGCCAGATATCTGGATATCATGATTCACTCCTCTATTTTTTCACTTTCACCTCCATTTAATTACTGGGGTCCTCTGGGTTTTACTTCCTAAATAGCGCTTGACTCTCCCATCCTCAATATCACCACTATAATTTATGCCACAGTCATTTCTTATCTGAATTATCACAACATTTTACCTGATCCATTAGTCAACCATTACTATGACAACAAGCGATCCCAAAATTATTGCTCTCATTGCATGAGGGCTTTAATTTGACCTTGAGCTTGGCTGGGCTTGGCTGAGCTTGGTTGGGCTCCATGTATCTTCCCACTGTGGCACCAGATGAAAGAGCAGCCCCCATTTGAGATTTACTAGTCTCACGACCAATAGCATAAGCTCAAGGGGGATAAAGCCATATTATGCTCATTTAAAGCTTCTGCTTGGAGGTGGCTTACGTCATGTCCTTGTTTTGGCCAAAGTGAGTCTCTTAGCCAAGCTCAAAGTCATTGGAGTAGGGAAGTATACTATGCCCATTGATGAATGTGGCAAAGGTAGAGAGAGTGCAAACACTTATGAACACTGAGTAACCTGCCTATAGTTATGTTCCTCTCCAATTCCTTGTCCACACTATCCACCTCACAAACAAGATCACACAATACCCAGTAGCTTCAGGATTTTTAAGAACAGGGGTGAGGGAAGAATTAGTGACTTCTTCAGAGAAATGAGTCTTGAGAGATAAATAGAATTTTCTACAAGAGGAGAAGAAAGGAAGAGCATCCTCGACTGAGAGTTCCAGAGCACAATAATAAGAACATCCTTCTGATTGACTAGTTTATTTCTCTAGATCATTTAACCATGTAGACAGCTCTTCATAAGATTGTCTCAGTTGTAGTGCAATGATTTGTTGTATTGTCATCTTTACTCTGTCCCTGCACAACTGTGAACTTTTTAAAAATCCTCATTTGAGAATATGTTTTTTTAAAAATTGATTTGAGAGAGAGAAACACTGATGTGAGAGAAAAACATTGATTGGTTGCCTCCCATTCATGCCTCAACAACCTAGGTATATGCCCTGACCAGGAATCAAACCCTCAACCTTTTGGAGTATGGGATGATGCTCTAACCAATTGAGCCCCCAGGCCAGGGTCAGTTGTGAACTTTTTGATGGCAGACATCATCTGTCTTATTTCTTTGATTACCCAGTACCTCAAATGGTGCCTGGAAGGCAGTAGGCATTCAAATTACTTGAGGGGAACATTTCTATGTTCAAAAAAGTTTGATTTAGGTAACTGGGCCATCTTAAAATCATGCTGCTGGTCTGAGACTGCTGGACAGTAACTGACAAACAGACTGTCATTATCCAAATCCCATGGCATGCATGGTCCGAGACACTACTTCTATTAGCTCTTCCCTAAGTATCCTTACTTATTTCCTCACCTCATTTGTCTTTTCTTACTTCTTCTTAAATATTGCTTCTTCAATTCATCAAGGCATATAAAATGTTAGCCTGCTTTCCTGACCTGGCAGCATCTGTGACCCTAAAGGAACTCATTATTCAGTCTTTCATACAAATGCTTAATACCATGTCAGAGGTTGACCTTTACCTTGCACCCTAGATACACACTTTTATCCAGCTTTAGGGCTTAACCTATACTTTCTCCATTTCTTTTTTTTTATATATATTCTTTTTTTTATTATTATTATTAGTTAAGGTATTACAAATGTGTCCTCATCCGCCCCCACCCTCCATTTTCTCCATTTCTTACAAAGTAAAGGTTGAGTCCATTACTAAGATTTTTCATACCAGGCCCTTTACACACTTTTGTCCCTTATGTTTGCTGCTCTTCCCCTTGCACCTTCCTCCACAGACCATAAGCCTCAGCACATCCTGCTCTTCCACATCTCTAGACGTGGCTTTTGTTGATCCCCTTGCTAGGAACTCTTTCTCTTTGTCTTCGAGGAAAATCCTACTCATACTTCAAGGCTCTACTCTGTGAAGAGGTCATTATTTCTGCCTTTACTTCTCTACAATTGTCAAATGAATGAATGAATGAATGATTTAGTTGACAGTTCAGATTTATTTCAGATTAATTTTCAAGTTCTCTTTTCTATAAGATATTCTTTATTTTCCCCTTATTTGAACTATTGGTTTTACCAATTTATAAGTCCAAATGCTGGCTGAGGCTCTAGACTTTATTTTTGTGCACAATTAGGTTTCTGCCTTCTGAAAATTCAAAACTTAAAATGGACATTATTCTCTCTGACAAGTTTTTTTTTTTTAAATCTTTATTGTTGAGAATATCACAGGTATTTTCACACACACACCCCACCCACTCACCTGGTTTCTCCCATCTATCTGGTTTCTCTGACAAGCCTTAATAGGATAGATATGTCTGTAATAGTGTGGATTTCAAGGAAATAATGCATTTTTTAAAAGTACAGATGAGTTATTATTATGGAAAATAAGAGGAAAATGGAATTGTATCATTCAAGAAGATGGGATGAGAAAGAAATTACTATCTGACTTTCAGCCGATCAGACAGGCCTAATGATTCAGTGGAAGAAAGTGTATTGAGAAGTCTCAGTTCTAGTAGAGAACTTATGCCTGGACCCTGGAACCTGCAGCTTTAATCTGAATTCCAGCTCCACCACTTGGTTTGAGCAAGTGACTGAGGCTCCCTGTGCCTCCGTTTCCTTACTTGTAAGATTTGGGGGAATAACAGTGTGCACATCACAGGGTTGTTATGAGGACGAAATGAGCTAATATATGTAAAGCACTTAAAATGGTATTGGGCACATGGTTAAGTGTTATAAATTGCTATTTCTGCTTTGGAATTTCTCCACTTTTTTTAAAGTTGGAGAACAAAAATCCTTGTTCTCACACTTCTGGGTTTCAACTGAGAAAATTAAAAAACAGTATAAAGCTTTAAAGTTCTAAAGAGATGCAGCTAACCACCTGTCCTAGGCTGCTCTTTCCCCTCCCCCACCCTCAACCACTTGAGGATGCTGCCCTCTGGTGGTCACTCAGAACTGCTATCTAGCTCTTCATTCTAACTCAGGCCAGAATTTTCTTTGTCTCCATCTCCCTGTAACTTAAACTTTAATTTATCAGAAGTTAAAGTATTTCTCTCTGGGCATTGCTTGAAACGTAGCTGCTAAATCACAAAAACATAGTAGATTTCAAAAATTGGAATGATTATTAAATATTCTATTTTTTATTTTAATGGTTATAAACTATTAGAAGATAATATATGCAATTACAAAATGTATTGTCTAAGTCTTTTCATTGATATACATATTTAAAAAACAGATAACTAATAGCCAAATACCTGAGGACCAAGTAGATATCTCTTTGTTACTGATTTAGACATTCCTTTTAAAAAAATATGAATGCTAGTTTAGGTATTATACTTCATATTAAAATTTGAATTATTTTATTAAAATTTTATTATTTTGGCAAAATGTTTTCCAGAATTGAGGAGACAAAAACTATAGTCATTAAAATGAGAATTCGTGCATGTGTATGAAGTCTATTAATATTCTAGATTTTATTATTTTTATCATCTTTAGTCTGCCCAACTGCCTAAACCCTATTTCTCCATGAATCTCATTAATAGGCATTTATTTTAAAGTGAAATTATGAAAAACTATTCTTTGCTAATTCTTTGGAAAACTTACATAATTCTGGAATGTAGTCTGAAGCAGATAGCTCACCTCTGCTGGGTGAACCGTTATGTCATTCCCAGCACCAAAAAAGAAACATCAGAAGATCGGTGACTATTTATTTACACATTTGTTATAGCTTCTACTTGAGAATAAAGAATGAGTTTGAACTCTAAAAGCTGAGCCTGCAGGAAGCCCCATCAGTCTCTCCACACTTCTGCTGTCATTCCTATTGTAGGGGAAACATTATTCAAACCACAGGCTCCAAACTCCCAGGTAACTGAAGCCAGCAGGAAGCTCTGTTTGATATCAAGTATGTTCTTTATCAACCTTTTTGTTGTGATGGGAAGAAATGAACTAACTTTACTTTTATCTTGCCCTGTTTTAACATAACCCAGTAGGTGAATGCTTTATTGGTGTGTGTTGGCCAAACTCTTTGATATATACTGACTTTGTGGTCATAAATTTTCCAAATAAAAACAACAGCAATCGTTTTTCATCCATCTATACTAATCAGAAAATATTACATGTTCATACATTTTTATTAAAAGTGTATTTGAAATTTTGCTTACAGAGGTTGCCACGGAAAACACACTTGATTTTTCTTACAAGATTCTGGGAAACAGAAGCCCTTCTGCCATCACCCAGAGAATCAAACATAACAATGCCACCGTGAACTTTGGGGTCAACATTAGAGACTCCACTGAATACTTGGTCTCAAAATGCTTTTTTGTATTAGACTCGTGTAAAATAAGAAAATTAAGGGTTTTTATGTTTTTCCCCCACAAGTAGTTGATTTTCAGTGAACAAGATCCTGATGCTGTATTGTGCAGTTTGTTAGCAAAGGTACTTCTAATGCTCATATGCTTTTTGATATACCGTTAAACCATACATTAAAGCTGTTCTTTGTTCTTTGTAGAATATTATTTGTGCAATCTCCGATTCAGTATCTGTGTTTTACAGGGAAGGAACAAATTTGAACAAAATATAGAAGGTTGAAGCAACACAGATTTAGAATGATTTTAACCTCATGTCTTTATCTTTCCTGCATCATTTTCTGTGATACATGGTCTCTTTTGGTTGCTGAGTTTATTACAAATTCCCAGAATCCAAATAATTTAATTCAAGGGATTCAGGCTCTAACAGAAAGAAAAAAAAACATGAAAAAATTTTACTATTTTATTTTAACGCAACATTTTGCAATTTAAAGCTCATAAGTGATTCAAACACCAATTATTTCAGTGCTATTTTTATTACAGTATTAGAGACATTATATATATTTAAACAAATATTATTTAACCACTGTCTTGAG